TTATCCTCCAAACAGATTGAATATTTGTTCTCCGCACTTTTCCAAAGATGACGTCAGCCGCAGCGTGAACGTGGAGCTCGCTCTCCTCCCGATGTCATCCAATAGAAACGATCCTCAGCTACACACTTTAAGATTCAAAGTTATATAAAAACAATCCTATTATGGTTTTATATTTTATATGTCACTAAAACGCCAATGTCCCAGATTCACAATGCAATAATACTGTCAAACAAAATGTATAGTGAAACCATATTTCTAACCACAATTTGGATTCTTTCTTTGAACATGTAAAAGTAACAAAAAACTAGTTTTGTTCAGTGACTGAACAAATCACTGACAAAAACTAGTTTCACTATTATTTGAACATAATTGCTTTCTGAGTATTACAATATTTTTCTGTTTTTTCCACTATCTGTAGTTTTAACATCCAAGTTTGATTATACTTACAAAAACAACAAACATTTTGACAGATTATAAAGGTTACTGTGAATTAAAACATATTTCCAGTTCACAATATTTTTTCCTTTGTGATATTAAACCGTTTTATGAACATTTCACCATATTTTTTGTACAGTATAAGTTACACAGGATTTTATTTAGGGAATTCAACCTAAAGGGGGTTCAACACATTTGAAATCTACACTTAAATACTGTATGTCAGTCTATCACATAATATCTCATAAAATGGAATGAAATTTTTGCTAGCAACATAAAAATATGTAAAAAAGTTGAAGGTGTTTTAATTCTGTAAATCTCAACCTGTCACATTTTGTGTTCTGTCGACACCTCTTCATTTTTTTAATTGTATTTATTTGCAAGCTAAACTAAAAGCTATATATTTGGTGGTTAAAAAAAAGAAAGAAATGTAATTGATGAGACAATAATTTGTTTGGTGATTTCAAGGTAAGCTGTTTTATGTTGATCTGTTGAATGGAAAGTGTCCGTCTGTTTTTGCAGAACACGGCTCTAGATAAGGAGACCCTGCAGCTCTACGCTCTGAGCTCTGAGGAACCGCAGGTAGAGCCGAGCTCAGATGTAGAGAACGTCTCGTCTGCTCTCCCAAACGAACTGGCTTCTCTTACTAAGCAAGTATCACGTGACAAAGATCCAAACTCCACAGAGTCCGTTTTCCCAACCGTGACTGCCCATCCTGGGGACCGTCAGCGGACAGAGCCTCTTCCTGTTCCTGCGCGTTTGCTTTCCCCCTCTGCTGAAGCTTTCCTTCTTTCCTCCCCTCCAGAAAAAGAGACCCCTCCTTCATCACTCTTTCTGACTCCGTGCCTATCTTTGGATCCCTCCTCCCCCTCTGCTCTTCATCTTTTCTCTTGCGTGACTTCCTCTTCAACCCCATCATCTGCCAACCATCCTGCCCCAGACCGCTCCTCTCCCACCAACCAGACGTCCCCGTGCCCCATCTCCCCCACCCCACCTTTTGTTTTCTTCCCACTCTCTTCTCCATCAAAACAAGCTCCCACCTCGCCGTCTTCTGCCCAGCCGACTCTGTTCCCTTCTCCTCCTTCCACGCCGCCGGCTGCTCCCCTTCCCTCCTACCCTCTACTAGCTGAAGAACTTCTAGAGCAGATCTAAAGTCCTGATGCGTTCCAGTCCAGATGGAGCCACAGCATTACGTTGTGGATCAAGAGGACAAACTGTCAGTGTGAACTTCTCACCAGATGTGAACTGAGCCAGAGACTCTGGTGGCTGCAGGATTCGTCCGGATTCTTCGTAAAAGACTGAGGAGTCTGAATGTACATCGTGTTTATTCATTAAAATGCAGACTGTCGTGAGTTTGTTAGCACTCTGAAGTAATATATTACTGTATCTCATCAAGCTTTTCTTTCTGGACCTCTCTTTGCTTTCCTGTAGTTCACTAGTTTAGTTTAAGGGAAAAAAAAGTTGAATTATGAGCTGTTGTTGCTTTAGCAGATAAAGTTTAGTTTGTTTCTCATACGGACGTTCCAGCAAATTTAACCTTTACTCCATAGTTGTTATTCTTGACATCAATAGTTCAGTCTTCCTGATTAATAACAGTTACAATTCAGTTTAACTTGGATGAAGTAGCACAGAGTTTAATACCAAGTAGTTAATAAAGAAATCTGTCCTTTAATTGGCTCTTACTTCCTTGCATTTATTTAAAATTCAGACAAGCAACAATCAGGTTGATGCTGATATATAGTTTTGTTTGAGGTCAGATCTGATGAGTCCAGTTCAGTTTCAACCTGATTTCCTTTTCTAAGGACAAAGGTAAATGATCTGATTTGAATAGCACTGTGCCGAGTCAGAAGAGCTTCACATTACATTCATCCATTCACACACTGATGGAGGTGAGCCACATTGTAGACACAGCTGCCTAGGGACAGTTTTAACAGAGCGAGGAAACCAAGCACGCCATGCACCGGCGCCATCGGGTGGTCAGAGGGTCTGTTGGCCCCCTCTGCCCCCACTACCAGGCAAGCCGGGTGAAGTGTGCCAAAGTACACAATGACTTAGATGGACAGATTGGGGGTTCAAACCGGCAGCCCCCTGGTTACCGGACAAACCCCTACCCACTGAGCCACTGGGGCCTCTACAACATATTTACAAACTATTTGTGTAAAAATGTATGAAACGCTGACGATGAAAAAGGAAAAAAATGTGTCAGATTCATTGATGGAGGTCCATGTTGTGAATCTTGCTGGGAGTATAGGATGGTTGTTTACCAAAGTGCGTCGACATGTTTATGATGCATTGCCACATGTAAATGTAGACCTTAACGGAGCACCTGTTGCACTGGGCTAGCTACTGTATGATTAAGTTCTAACAACTTCTTAACAGTTTCCACTGCTTTTTCAATGATGTGTGCTTTTATTTCAATACCATAAAAATGACAACATAGCTGAAAATGTAGTGTTCTCCACTGAATTACTCCTGCTAAATGAACAATTAGAGCTAATGTGATCAAAATAATTTTACAGCACCCTCTGCTGTTAAGCAACTGGAGCTCCACATACCAGTGGATGGAAGCAGAGTGGATCATACAGTCTACACATGCCTGTAGGTTAGGTTTGACCACCTGGTCAAATTACTTCTCCAATTTTATCCATTCTGGCTCCACCAACCCACCAATCTATTTTCTCAGCTATCAACATGTTTCTAAAGCCCAATAACAATATTTCTTCATCCTCTAACGCTACCAAATGCAATAATTTTCAGTCTTTCAGGCCAAAACTGATAGTATTTATGATTCCCTTGATCTCCCCTCTGTTCCCCACAGCTCCAGTCAGCAGATCTCATACTTCACTCTAATCTCTTCTCTTCAACCTCCTAAACTTTTGTTTGGTATTAATACTCCCACCTGCTCCTTGGATCCCATTCCTTCCCCTCAATCTATCCCCTGATCTTACTTCTGGATCTGTTCCACAGTCTCGATCTGGCAGACATCAGCAAAATATCTACAAACTTAAATGTGGTCTGACACTGATAACGTCATAAACTTCCATTGACCTCCCCTCAACACCCTGTTTGGACCATTCCAGTCACACAACACCGAAACAGCTCTTCTCAAAGTTGCCAATGTTCTCTTTTCCTCTGACTCTGGCCATCCCTCCAGATCTCACTGGAGCTTTTTGACACCATCAGTCACTCCACCCTCCTGTTCCGTCTCAAGTCCAACCTGAATCTCACTGGCTCTGTTCTGTCCTGGTTTCAGCGTCACCTTACAAATCAAAAACAGCTTATTTACTCATATCAACTGTTGCATCTCCTCCATAGCTCCTCTATCCCCAGGTGTTCTCCAAGGTTCAGTGCTTGGTCCTCTCCTCTTCATCCTTCATCTTGGTGGCATCATCAGTTAACATGGCTGTCCTTTGCTACACAGTTGGCATACAGATTTAGATTCCCAACACATCCAAAAACCTCCACATCCACTCCACTGACACCAAAACCTGACTGAAGCACAACTGTCTCAAATGAAACACTGACAAAACTAACAAGATCCTCATTGGCTCAAAAAGTGTCACCAAGTCCACTCAAAACTTCTGCCTGACACCATCACTCATCTGTAATCTTATTCTTCTCAACTCCACTTTCATTCAAATCATACATCAATAACCCAGACTGCTTTCTTCCATCTCAGAAATATGGTTCAACTTCAACTTTCACGTCCAGAATTGAATAATGCAATACCATCCTGCATGGTACACTATCAAAAAACACTCAACAAACTGCAATACATCCAAAACCAACACACCCATCCTCTCCCCCTCTGCTCCTCCGAAGTCTTCTGCTCCTCCCCTGCGGAACGGAGCTCTGAACCTGGAGAGCCGGAACCTTCATCGCCGGCCCAAAACTCCAGAACTCACCAGCCTAACCGCTCCACGCCTGCTTCAATCTCCCCGTGTTCAGGAACAAACTCAAAAATATCTTTTAATTAAATTTGCTCTTTTTGTGTTATGTATAATATTGCATTGTTTAATTTTATATTGTAGTGCTTCTGTAAAGCATCGTTGAGTACTTAGAAAGGCATCATACAAAAGAAATGCGTTGTGTAAAAAATAGGTAAGGTATTTAGCAAAAAGGCAAATCAAATGAATAAATCCTTTGATTCAACAGGGTGAAAACGGATCAATTCAGAACTTTCATAAAAACTGTACAAGTTGATGAGAAAATATCTGCAGAACTTAAATCTGTCAGAACAATTCAGTTGAACTTTATTGTACCGTGTTGCCATCAGCAAAAAAGAGAGCTGTAAGAAAGTCAAGAAGCCAAAACCTAAATCAAACGATAGTTTTATTATTAAATCAGTGACTGCTTTATTATTTTTGATCAACTGTTTTTGTTCTGGACCTGTCATGGCTACCACACGAGCTCAAAGACTGATGGACAGATGCACCGGCGCCCTCTGGTGGCCATGCATGGATAATGAATGATTTTGTTGTGTGAGTCCAAATATTGACCACTAGAGGGTGTTGTGCAGTTCTAGTAAAACCAAACAGGAAATGAAAACATTCATTCACGTCAGCTCAAGTAATAAAATTCATTTTTATTGTCAGAACTCAGCAAACAAAAACACTCCAAATGATTGCAAAAATAATGAGTTATACCTCATCTTCATATAATCAGAGACAAAATGACAAAGCACAGACTTTATAGAGAGGAATGTCAGGTATGCTGGAGGTGGATGCTTGTTCAAGAGACGATTTGTCGCAACAATTTGGTGCTGAACAACGTGTTAAAAATTATTCATTCTGTAAATTAATGAATATGATTTAAATTAAATAAAACAAGCAGAAATGGGAAAAAGTTGATCCTTTCACTGCACTTCACGCTGACCTTTGCTGCTTTGGAGACCAAAGTCACAGTTGAGGTTTTAGAGAAACGAGCTCACCTCTAGAGGAGATGGAAAAGAAATGATTCTTTGAACGAAAGCAGACTTATTTAAACGGCTGATAACAGGGAAGTTCTGGATCTTAGACATTAAATAAACTGATAGCTGCTGAATACGAGCCTCGCACATAAAACAATCAGAGCAAGCACAGCGGGAGCAGATATCTTAAATAAGGACGGCGTGTATATAGATAGCATCACCAAGTTTTCCCTCTCTGCTCATCTTTCTGTCAAGTACATTGTGTTTTTTTTTATTATTCAAACATTTCCTACTTACTTGCTGTGTTTCCAGTATAAGAAAAAAAAAAAGCATGTTTAAGTGAAGTATAGCTCAATAATTATTCCCCTCACACACAAACACCAACACGAATCACTCAATCCAAAGTACATAAATATTTGGATTTTTCAGCCGAACATGTTCCCGTTGCCCCTGCTCTATTCCTGGAGGAGATGAAAATAGACTCTTACAGCTAAAAATAGATTATTTCCACTCAAACCGTTACAGAACCCCCCCCACCTTAAAGAGTTATAGGAAACGTTTTCTATCTGATCTACAAAATATATAGCAATGCCCTTTTTTTAAAAATAATTTGTTGCTCTTACAGAACAGATCATTTTTTCTCCTCCCCCCTTTCCACCGAGATACATTCAGAACGTGGAGCTGCTGGCAGAACAGCACCATTTGATAAGAGTTCAATGGTGTGGTCTGGACCTCAGTATCTGGTCTGGTACTCATGATGCCACCTGTTAAAGTCGTTGTAGAAGAGGACGATGCTGCCAGACGCCATGCCAGTGATGATGCACCTGAGGAGGAAGCAGGACAGAAGTAACATCAGTAGAAATGTGAAAATAATTGCTGTGCGTTCTCGGGATTATGAAGGGATTTGCTTGTTTCTCGTGCTACATCTTTGATGACTGATAATTGCTGATTTTATTTCGCTCCATCAAGCAGAAGACAATAACATATGTCTAAGTTAAGTTCCTTTCAGACAAGCGTTTCAGAAAGTTTATGAAAAAGTTTCTTTCCGTTTACATGGTAGGGGGTTTTAGACTTGTGGACCTTCTTACAAACTTTGGAGAAAAGTCATTTCACCAATGTTTTCTGTCATAACAGCAGAAGTAAAGTCTGTTTTTAGCCGCTTCGCATAATTGTATGCAATCTCTACAGTGTGGCTACAGTAGTTAGCCACCATCAGGATGTGAATGTAGCGTGAAGCGCCTCTGGACCTGAAAGTGTTACATAGATGAGGGCGATGTAGAGGACCGCCATAAGATGGGGCCCATTTTACTTAACTTGGGGGATCGATGGAAAAATATTTCCATCGATCTTATCTACCTCAGCAAAGGTCTAAAAACCAACCAATGTCCTCTTCTGCTCTGCAGTGAGAGAATCTGACCGGCAGACTGGCCCACCAGGTCATGTCTGAACGATTACAGTTAACAATAGTCACCCGCTGCTGAGACATTTCAGACCAAAACAAAAGAAAAAAAACATCACAGTTGGTCAAATTCGGAATCAGCAGCTCAGGTTTTTTAAAGCTAATTGGTAATCAGGCAGGAAACTCATCAACATGAACGGTAAACATGTTTAGACCTGGTTAAATATGCTTTCACATAAAAGTCATTAAAGCAGAAACATGGAAAAAAAAAAGAAAGGCCTTTGACTTTCAAAAAACTGTTTTTGTAAATGAACCAGATCTATCAACCAGATTCTCCGAGTTACAGCAAAATGAACGCCACTTGGAGAATTTATGGTCACATGACATCAACTGGGTTCCTCTGGCTAGTTAGAAGGGGTGGGTTAAGTTACCCACTGGCTCGTCTCACCCCACTCTGCGTTTGTGTTTCTCTACTGGGTGGGTTAGTTGAACCCACCCAATAGAGAATCGCTTGGAATCTTCCATAAAGGTTCCAAGAGATTATTGGTTGGGAAGAATTGCTAAATCCAGAGCTGAACAACCGAAGAAACTCGTATTATAACATTCTGCTTATGCAGCCAGACAACATCTACCTACTTCTGGTATGCCAAAGGTACCAAAAGTGAGAAATTCTTAAAAAACCTATGTTGTTGATTATCTCTGATGCATTAGTCTGAGTAAAGAATCGTTCACCTTAAACCAATACTTATGCTGGTTTTCCTACCGGTACTGCAGTGGATGAGAGTTTTTTCAGGCTCCGGATTCTTTGGGTCTTACCGTTGATCATGCGACATTGCCATGGAGCGGATCCCTGCGTCACAGCCAGGAAAGGTGAAGAGCTGTTTGAGGTCAGAGACCTGCCAGACGGACACGACTCCACCGTCTCCACCTGTCAGCAAATACTGACCGTCCCGACTCAGCAGCATGGCCTGTCACACACAGACAGGCAGGTTGTAAGACTAACTGAATCTAGCATGCTCCTCCATTGACTGAGGACAATGAACTCTGCATATGAGGTGTGCTGCAGAAACAAGGAAAAACATACGCAGTAAAAAACGGGTTTGTTTACACTACATCAAAATGAAGCAGTTTTCTAATTGTCTTGTGCAGAGAGACCGCTACGACAAAACAGAACAAAAACAGAACAAAACAGAACATTCAACAGAAATACTGAAGCAACATATCAAAACAGTTTGGCACAAACGTCTCTTAAAATTGGAAAGTAACCCGAATCTCACATTTAGTTACAAAGTGACAACAAAGTGAGTCACGTGGAGTCAAAACTCCATCTGAAGTCTCTCTGAGCAGCTCTGACAGTGTGCTAGCAAGACCGCCTAAAACAACTGATTCACCACTTCAGTCAGCAGGAATGACAGAAAACTGTTGAGAAGCTTGAGCATTTGGCCCAACTCACACAACTTAAAGGGCAATTCCATAAAATAATGTGAAAATGTGTGACATGGACCTGAAGAGGCAGTATTATGGAAGAGACTTTTTCAGTTTTACATCATGCTGTAATGTTATTCCCTCATCATAAACATACCTGGATTGTTCCCTTAATTCTCTAATGCATGTTTGAGAAACCATTTAATCTCCATGGCAACCATTTACAGGAGCCTGAACAAGTAGCTTCAGCCTCACAGGACTTCCACTCAGCTCCTCCAGACTAGCAGCTATTAGCAAACACCTGGTGGAACTGAGCATCTGCTGGACTCATGTCAGTTCAACGCTGCTAATAACGGCTGCTAAAGGTTTAATGATGAGTCAGGAAGAGCAGGAGCTTCTTAAAGGGGCAGAACTTCAACATCAAAGCATCAAACTGTGAAGTCAGACATCTTGAGTCGTGTTTGATAAATACGTTTTTTTGGGGGTTTTTTTACAACATCTGAAGTGTCAGTTACTAGACTGTGCTAGAAAATGACACTTTGTGCCTGGAAATGCACAATACCGCCCCTTTAAATGTCGAGCATAATATTTTGTGGTATTTACTATAACGATAAAAAAGAGATTAGAAAAAGTATCTGAGAACCAAATGCAGATTTTTTCCCCCCAGCTGCAGATTACAGGGATGGACATCATTACCACAAATAGAAAAAAGCCCAAAACAAAAACTTCAGTATTTAGTCGGCTATTCCAAAACATCAGTTACATTAAGTCAAACATTTTTTTTAAGTAAGCAGCACACAATAACTACTTATTTATATTTTTGAAACGTTAATATATATTGCTGCTCTCATGAAGCTCGTAATGGAAAAAAACAAAAGTGGTAAAAAAAATAATGAAATGAAGAAAAAAAATGTAGTCAGATTGAATGTAAGAGTGAGAAAAAGAGGCAAACCGTTTGATAAACGCCTTGTTTCAACTGGAAATCCTGCCGACGACGAGCGATCAGATCATCTGTGATGACAAAGCAACCATCACACCTCCGAGTGTTTTGATCCAACAAATAACTCCACATTTTGCGTACACACACACACACTCACACACACTCTCTCTCTCCTCCACTCCACTAAAGATGTCTCCCAAGAGCAGAACTCAGAGATTTACTCATTTCATCTGCTTTTCTTGCAAACTGCAGCGGCCCAAACGGCTCCCTCAGGAATCGGATGAACACAAATCAAGTCGTGTGCTGGAGACCATTAAGGGCATGGTGAGCGCTGGAAGCCCAAACTCAGAAAGTCAGAGGCATCCATCAGCGCGTAACCGTAGCTGATGAAATGACGAGGCCGAGTGTTTGTTCTGAAAGCGGCGGGCGACGCCGAGAGCCTTTTTGTCGTCCACGTTTTTGCGACGCCGAGGGACGGACGCCTTTCAGCCGCCGACGCTTTTTCGTGTAGCGGCTCGGTGCTTCAGTCGTCAGCGGCATGTGTGTTTAATTAGGATCAAGTTTAATGGAAAAAAGGATTTAAAAAAAAACAACAAGAAACTTAAAGCTGAAATGAGTCGATTTCAGGAAGTCGATTCGGTGTGAAAACAAAAACAATACCTCAAACGAGAAAAAAAAAACTGGAATTGAGGAAATGATTTGTGTGTATACTCAAAACTTTTCTACATCTTGTTTTGAAAGTTTCTAAAGTTTCAAACGGCAAATAATTGAGAGCAGAGATTTGAAAACTTAGACGGTTTTATTTCACCCACCCGCAGCAAATAAACCCAGAATTCATTTCAGATAAATAAAGATTCCTGATTTTTACTGGAAAAAAAAAAAAAAAAAAAAAAAACTTCATAAAAAGCATCAACTGTGTAACAGCACAGAACTGGGCAGCAGCTTTTTATCCCCATCAAATAAGCAAACGGAATTTGATTTTTCTTCAACATGTGAAAGACGTCTGACGTTTTTATCAGCCGGTTCTTCGAGTATTTTTGGGAACGGTGTTAGAAAAAAGGTAAATTCATCCAGCCTGGAATCAGATCCAATCTGAACGCAGAGTTTGTTGTTTCTGTGGAGTGAAATGTTCACAGCCTGTTTATCAGTTTTATGACAATATTGGATTTTGAAATCGAAACTCTTTCCGTCGTTCCGTCTTAAATGTTAGGAGCTTTAGCTACATGTCGGGTCAGATGTTTACATACACCCAGCAGTAACAGATCTGTATATGATTATTTTAACTTTTTTTTAAAGAGTGGAATGATTCAAATAAAAATAGAAAAAAACTTGGGTGAACAATTTAGAAATGATTATGGATTTACACACATTCCCAGTAATATCTAGTCAAATGTTAGTTTTCAAATTACACCTCGACTGTTTTTAAAAACGAATAGAGTTGAATATTGGCTTCATATTTGCTCCCCCCCCCCCAAACGTGACACTGAAAAACAAAATCTTACCAAGAATTTCTGGTTTAGTCTCTTGAGCAAATATCTCAGTACACTTGAAATAAGCCAGTAACTTTTCAGCAACATACAGGAGTTTGTTTTCAGACAATAACTTCTTAATATTGATTTGAGACAATAGTAGTTCCACTGGTAGATCATCTCAACTCCAAGATATTTTCCCCAATTTTTAATGAAAATCTGCACCATTTCAATATTAAGGAATTAACATAAAATAAGTTCCCATATCTTGCTGAAAAGTAAGTTGCAAATTAGTTTTGTCTTATTTCAATTGTTCTAAGATATTTGCACCAGAAACTGGATCAAAACTACTAGGAAAGATTGAGTGTTTTTGCAGTGGATGGGTTTTATTTAACTTGGTCTGAATCTGGTCACAGGTTTTTTAGTGGTCAAGTGTCTAGTTTTGTCCTATTTCAAGTTTTCTAACTTACGAGTAACTTTTGTTTTAAGTCAATAATTCCATAATATTGATGAAAAGTTACTAGTTCCACTGGAAAAATATTTCACTTATAATTAGACTTGTTTCCTTGTTAAAAGTGAAACCAGTGGAATTTTAACTTTTTTTCATCATCATCAACTTTAAGGAACTCCTAACATAAAACAAGCTCCTATTTCTTGCTGAAAGGTTTCTTGTAAGTTAGTTTTGTTTTATTTCAAGTGTTCCAAGATATTTACACTAGAAACTGAACCAAGATTACTTTTGTGATTTTTCAGTGAAAACCATTGTTGTGAATTTTGGAAACTAGCAGCAGAGTTGGCCAACAAACCCTGAAACCAGGCGGCCAGCGGCAGCTTAATGCACTGTGATGCGTTCTGCTGGGGGAGTTTATGACCCGAGTGCAGCGCAGCAGGAAGCAGCAGCGCTGGCAGACATGTCAGCCCGGCCAGGTAGGAGGCTGCAGACAGACGTTATAAATCAGCCGCTTTGCCACTGGGCGGCCAAACAAGATGGCCGACGTCTCTGTAGGGGCCAAAAGGGCCCACCGGCCCCGGATAAAAAAAAAAAAAAAAAAAAAAAAAGTGGTGCAGAAACATGTGCAGCCTTCGTCCCCATATTTCAGAGACGGATGGGTGGATTCAAGGCTGAAGAAGGTAAAACTTTTAATTTATGGACCTCTTACCCCCCCACGCCCCCCACCACCCCATCACACTGACAGAGGCTGTTAAAAAAGCTGCAGAGATGGTTACACTGCTCGAGTCGCACTATAACTTAAAAGAATGTAATCTATTCAGCATGGCTCCCCGTCACCCAAATCCACTATTAGAGCAGGATGCCGACTGTTAGGCTGTCATCCCGACTCTGACTCCAGACCTCTATAAAGCGGCGGAGCGCACGTTTTTACTCTCCGCTTCCAAGTGCGTGCAGCAGGCCAGGACAAACACTTATTTATCCTGGAGTCACACTGCGCCGAGGCTCAGAGGGCAGAGAAGATTGATTCTGGTATGTACACGGGTGTACTAAATAGCGGCTGGAATCGGGGGGGCGGGGGGTTGGGGTGAAGCTAAGCCTGAGTTCAACATGTTGGGTTTTCCTAATGCCGCGTGACACGGAGGGAATTTACTGCAGGTCCAGGAGAGACCAAGTCCGTCTGTCCGGCTGTGCAGAAGAAATGTGTGGTGAAAAAACTACAACGTTAATCTGAAAAACATCATTAGTAACTTTCTAAAACACAACTAGGAAAAATTAGGACAGATTGAAAATGAAACGCTCGCTTTTTTCCCCCTGCAGAGTCTGTGACGGGCTCAGTCCATGTTTCTGTGTATTTGTGGTTAGGAGCCTGGAAACAGGAAGTTTCTGTTTGTGTTGTGTAAAATAAATTTTTTTCAAGCTTTACTTCATTTCTAAAGTTATTCCCTCATCAAAAACATACCTGGAGTGCTGCTCTGATTCTTTCATTCATGTTTGAGAAATCACCTAATCTCCCATGGCAACCATTCAGCTGGGCAGATCGCCTGGGTGAACCCAGCTCTGTCGCAATTAATCTATTAACGGAGTGATCAGTTAAAACGAGCTCCGTCATTTCCATTTGCATGATTTATTGTTTTCCTGTTTCTACCAAAAACTGGATGATAAAAGTCTTCAGTTCCAGTGTTCAGTGTTCAAGAGAATTTAAAGTTTATTGATCTTTCAGAATGTGTTCTTGCATTATTATGACATCACCGTTACATTACTTGAAAATGGTCTGAAAAAAATATTATCGATTATCCTAACAACATCTGGGACAATTTATCGTCTAGCAAAATTTGCTATTGTGGCAGATTTAGCTTTCTAAGTTTCCACAATACACAGCAGCCCTTCCCCGTGAATCCCCCATTCAGCTCCTTCAGACTAGCCAGAAACAATTAGCAAATATCCATTGAGCTCATTATAGGAGCTGCTTCTCAATGCAACGCTGGTAAAATCATTGTTGAAGGGTTAAAAGAGGAGCCATGTTGTGATGACTTCCTGAAGGCGGAGCTTTAGAAAGAGCAGGAGCTTCTTAAAGAGACAGAGATCCAATTTTAAGGCCTTAAATTATAAAGTCAAATTTATTTGAAGTCATATTTGATATATAAAGCATTTTTATAACAACTGAAGTTAACAGTTACTTGATTGTGCAATAAAATGGCACTATGTGGCTGGGAAAAACATAATACCGGCCCTTTAATAGGAAACAGGCGTGCAGCCGTCTGTCAGAGCTGGCTTACATTTCCCAGGCCTAAGCGGAAACAAAAGGGCCTGGAAACCAAAGGCGGTAGCTGCTATCTTGTGTCGCTCTGGCCACCAGGGAGGAAATGTGGGCAGTGGGGGAATGTGTCCTCCTGCGCTCTGGGGTAGTTAATGGTGTCGGGGTCCAGGACTGACCGCTGCTCTGGAGCGTTTCCCGCCACCGTCGCAATCCGACCCGACACCGGATCCGTGGATCAAACAGGAGCGTTTCCTCTGCTGCATGCGGTGGAACGGGGAGAGCGAGACGTGGAGCCCTCCTGTTTTGTCCCGAGGCGTCCTGACCTTCGCCTCAGATCCGAACCGAGCCCAGTCTTTAATCAGCGCTACGCCTGGACTGGACCCCCCCACCCAACCCCCCACACCCCGAACGCCCCAGATGTGGTGCAGACGTACAGACGGAAGCGGAGTTTGATGAGAGCCAGGGGAGAAACGGCCGTTTCCTCACCTTGATGTTGTCCTGCACCTCCATGTGTCGCAGCAGCTTGCCGTTGATGCTGAAGAGGCAGAAGTGTCCCTTATCGTAGTAGATCATGCAGTGGCCCTCGGTGGAGGACTGGATGAGCCGGGGCCGCAAGCAGCTCTCCGGGGCCTCCAAGGTCCGGAGCAGGTCTCCGTTCATGGAATGGACCAGGCAAGGACCCTCTACACACAGGGAGACACAGAGCTACGCTTAATATATGACACTGATTTATCTTTTGTGTGTGTGTGTAATGACGGACAATCTGTAAACTGTTTAAAAAAAAGAAAGAAAGAAAAAGATTATTTTGGAAATAATATGACTAATGCCTGAAAATGTTTTTTTTCCTTCCATAAACAGAAATTAGGAACTGGCTAAACTCAACTCAAACTTTAACTGCACTGCAAAATCACTAAATCGTAGAATATTTCTGGTCTGGCTTCTAGTGCAAATATCTTAGTACACTTTAAATACGACAAAAATAACTTGGAAATTATCAGTATTTTTAAGCAGGAAATGGCAGCTTTGTTTAAATCAATGTCTGAATGTTGAATGTTGAAATCATCTGCACAACTATTTTTTTAAAAAAAGAAGGTATTTTAGCTTAGCTAAAAAAATTATGACTATTTCAAATGTCCCATCACCATTACAATACATAACTTATAAAAATGTGAATTTCTAAAAATCAAAGAAAGACTCTTTCATTTTCATGATTTTTACTTCTCAGGTCAGATGCAACAAAATCATCATAAAATAATAATGTCTTATTTTTTATCACTTCTATTTACAACAATGACTCAAAATAAGTTTTATTTGTTTGAGAAGTAAAATGTTTTTCAAGGATTCTGAAGGTTATTCTGCTATGAATGAACTGAAATAAAACAAAAATTTACAGTGAATGTCTCTCAGTCTAAAAGGCAAAAAAAAAAAAAAAGCTACAAGTCATGTCAGAAACCATGATGCCAACCAGGTTAAGTATTTTTATTATTTTTTTTAAAGAAATCTCAAACACACCTAGCAGCCCAACTCCACTTCACCGGAAGCCGGAGATTAAACTGTTTCAGTGACCAAGTCAAAGTAAACGGAGCATCGTGACAACAAAAAAACTCAGTTTTCAAAAGAAAAACTTGGAAGATGTTAAACTGAAAACCTATTTTTCGCAAAATGGAGGATATGGAGAAGTTTCCTCATCTGCTGTTATTGAAAACGGTCAAAAACTCCAAATAAAATACGTTTTAGTAGGAATTGTTCAAACAAAACCTCAATGGTTTACAAATGATTAGTTATTTAGCCAATCGGATCAGAGGAAGGTGGTCGGCTTCACCTTTGCAGCCACTGATGACGAGACCCAACTCAGCACAGACGCTGACAGACGTCACCTCACAGTCATGTCCCGTCAGGATGGCCCTCGGTGTGGTAAACTCTGCTGGAAGAAACAAACATTTCAGATCCTCACATTTTAGCAAACAGTTACAGTTTATAGTCACTAGGGGGAGCAAAAAGGTTGGATGTTATATTCTCATGTAGAGTTTTGGCTAAATACAGCAGCCATCAGTAGAGTTAGAGAGGAAGATTCAGACAGATTAAGTTTTTTTTCATTTTGTGTTACTAACCTTTATGTACAATAGGCTCAATGTAAATGGAAAAAAAAGAAAAGAATCTTAGAAATTTTCTAGAAAACAATACTGAAATTTCTGAGTTTGAAAAGTCAAAAGTCTGCTAAAAAAAATCTAATTGAGATTAATCTCAGAAATTTTCTACAAGAAACATGGAAATGTTGAGGGTTTCTTTCAGGCAATTTTTAAACTTTTCAAACTTCTAAATACATCAGTGATCAGCAGAAGTTTAGACTTTACAAGATCAGAAATTTTGAAATCAATCTCAGCAATTTTCAAGAAAAAAAAAACTTGGACATTTTGGGGGGGGTTCCAAGTAAATTTTAAACTTTTCAAATGCAGAAATTAAAAAGTTTTGTCTTGAAAAATGCTGAAATTGATTTCAAATTTTTTTCATTTTTTTAGCAGCAATTTTTCAACTTTTCAAACTCAGAAATGTCCACGTTTTTTCTAATAAAAGAATTTGTGAGAATTTTCTTTAATAAAAAATTTCCAGCAAACTTTTGACTTTTCAAGCTCAGAAATGTCCTTGATTTTTTTGTTCTTGAAAATTCCAGAAGTGAATCTCAAAATTTCTGAGGAATCTACAATGACTCTAACACTCCGTCCAATCCTGGACCGGAGAACTTCATGGCTCTCCACCAACAGCCCCCCTCATTCCTCCCCTTTGCATCCTTAAGATTTTAATCCATTTTGTTTCACATGCAGATATTTCCCACACTCTGCCTCCTCCAAGGTTTAAAACCTTCTCTGCATGACGGCTTTTACTGGATCCAGATGTTTCTGCGTCGGGCAGGCAGAGCAACACAAAACCAGGGGAACTCAGACTGAAGTCATGAAATTTGTGTAATTTAGTTTTGGTTTGAAGCTGTCAGGGCGAATGACAACACAAATCATCGAAATCACCTTCCGTCCGACCAGACGCTGCATATACACGCCAGATCAGGTTTTCCTAGAGTACATGTGATAGTAAACAAAGATGAATAGAATTTGCACGTTTGGTCAAAGTGTAAAAGCTTTGAATTGGACGAAATAGAGGGAACTGTAAAGGTCACCAGCGTGAGTCTGTCTGTAGGAGTTCAGTTCTGGTTCACGGCTCAGTGGGGGTCGGGGGGCGCTCTTCTTAAATAACCCCATCAATACCTGCTGAAAGTCAAGATCAGCACCAAAAACTAAACAAAAAATAAAAATGACACTGGCACTGCTGTGTTTAAATCTACAGATTTGTAAGAAATCACACTCAGTTGTTTCTGATTTTGCCTCAATCACCTGTTGGCGTCTCAAGTGGAATTTGTTATGCAGCAGATCGACAGAAAGGAAAACCTTTCTGTGGAGGTTATTGTGAAGTGGAAGGAAGTAAAACAAGGTTTTACAGAAATTGTTTAGACATTTGAAACCAAAAAGTGCGGCAGGAATTCCAGCCTTTTACTCCAGTTTCAGCTGGAAGTAGAAATGAATTTGTTCTTTGGAAAAAAAACTCAAGCTCAGATTAGAGAGAGCATCTGGAGTCCAGCCATTGATTCTAGGTTTTGTGGTGTGGACTTTGACTGGACCATTCTAACACATGACTATATTCTGACCTGAAGCACTCACTGACAGCTTTGTTAATCATTTATAGTCACTGAGCTGCTGAAAGGTTAAAGGTCAAAGACATTATCAGCCTCTAATGACCTCGATTTAGTCCCATCCGTTTTATAACAAACATTTGTAGTTTTGTTTGTAGTTTGTAGTTCTTTCATACTCTATGTATGTTCTGATACAATGAACAGATGAGATATTTAATTGATCAACTAAAACTAAAGTTCATTTTTCTTTGAGAGGGCAAACTTGTATCATCATCATTATTATTATTATTATTATTATTACTATTACGTTACTTGAAAATGCTTTCAAAATGACAATATTATTGTTTATCACAATAACGTCTGGAACAATTTATCTCTACAAACAAATATTACTCTTGAAAAACATTCCCACTTTAACTCTTCAGGATCCCACTTAAAGAAGTGGATTTTACATCAATAAACTGCATAAAGTAACTACATTGAATCATATTTTCACATTTATTAATATTTATTGATCCTCTTGTGATAGAAAGTGGAGAAAACAGTAAAAACATTTCTGATCATATCAGTTTTTTTTTAACAAAATTAACAGATATATTTTGCCACCACAATAAATCAAAATTCTCATAATAAGAAACAACTACGAACTACTCTGTGTTGCTCTATCACAATAAAATATGCTGCTCGTCTTTATAACCACATAAAATATTGAAAAGTGCAACTGCCAGGCTTTATTTGTGTTCACCAAACAATGTAGTCTTTCTTTCTTTCTTTAAACATCCGCCTCGCAGCTTCTGGGAATAGGAAGCATAAAGTTTCCGATATGAACATGTCTTGGCCATAAACGGCTGTAATAAACAACACGTTTTCAACTGCGCCGGCTAACGGTGCTGTTTAGGTGCATGAGCTCATGCAGCTCCTGTCTAAATGCAGCCGCACGGCACAAACTCAACCGAGCTTCTCTAATAGGGCCGGTTCTTCCCCCAAAAGCCACAGCTACTGTAACACCTTAATTGAATTTAGCAGAAAGACTCCATAGAGCCCACACTGCTCTCGAAAAAAAAAAAAAGACAAGATGACAAGTCGCGTATTTCAAATCAATGAAACCCACATGCACAGAGCAGAAAATATCTGGCGGATTATTGTAATGAGCGGCTAAACGAGCAAAACGCGTCAATATGAGCAAAGTTTCTCAGTGTTATTACAGGACATGTTTTGAAACGGGGAAATCAAAACAGCAGCAAATTTGTCTCCGATGACTGATCTCATAGGATTTAACTCCAGTTGATTGTTTGGACTTTTTTTTTTTTTTTAAACATCAAGCTGTCCACTTTGCAGCCGCCCAAACTCGCCCCTGATCTCATCAGAGCGCCGGCAGCCCAAACAAGCACATTTCATCCAGTTAACAGCCTCGTTCTCACTAAAAGCAAACACATGACCCGTGAGCCGGCGAAGCCGGGAGGACCAAGCCGGATTTCGATCCACGCAGATCTACAGAGCTGATAAAGGGAACAAACTGAGGCTGGAGCCTGCACCTAAAGTTTGGTTTAAATTAGAGAGACATCTGACTGCAATTTCATACCTGTACGTGGCCTGAGCTAGGAGGCAGAGGAGGGGATCGGGTGTCTCTGTGAGTGGACGTACACTCGTATTAAACTTGTTTTAGGGACATTAGCCGGTCACAGCTTCCTTTTACAGAGCAGGAGTTATGGAAGGAGATCGCTATATTATGTAGTAAATATGTAGTTACTGTTGGGCATTGGTCTTGAGGAGCTGGATGTAAATCAAATGTACTTTATATACGTTTTTTTTCATTTTTGTTATTTTACTTTATTTCATGCAAAATAAAAAGAGCATTTTATACACTTTAATAGATAAAAATGGACAAAAAAGGTAATTAAAACACTATTAAAAATATGTTCAGCTAAACTGGAAGGGTGTTAAGTTTTCCAGGCACATTTTACAGTGTAATCAACTCTGTTAACTTCAATTATTAAAATGCTGCATACATCAAAAATGACTTAAAAGAAATTTGACTTCCTAATTTACGTTTTTGCCTTGAAATTGGGTCTCTGTCTCTTTAAGAAAATCTTGTTCTTTCTGAAACTCCACCTACAGACATTGATCACAGCATGGCTCCTCTATTAACACTTCAACAACGTTTATACCAGCGTTTCACTGAGAAGCAGCTCCTATCATGAGCTCAGCAGATGCTCAGCTCCACCAGGTGTTTGCCAATTGCTGCTGGCTAGTCTGAAGGAGCTGAGTGGGGGAGTTGCAAGGCTGATCTGCTCTGTGAGGCGGATGGTCAGAAGCTTCGGTCTCTCCAGCCGTTTTGATCAGCTGAATGGTTGCCATGGAGATTAAATGATCTCTCAAACATGGATGAAAGAATCAAGGCAACACTTCAGGTATGTTTTTGATGAGAGAAAAACATCATAACATGATGTGAAGCTCCAAAAAGTCGTTCTACGTACCACTGCCCCTTTAACTGGGAAAAGCTGAGTGACGCATCATACTGGGAAATATTTTGATGATATCTTTTCAAATATCTACTTAATAAAGTCGAACACAAACTTTTCAGAGAGAGAAAGTTTGAGAAATCAGTTCACATACGAGTGCCTCCAAAACAGGCATTAATGTTTTCTGTCGAATCTGAACTGAAGGCGTTTCGTGTGGCGACATTAAACGGTAAACTGAAAGATTTTAACTACTTCATAGAGAAATGTTTCCTGTTGGTAGCAGGATCTGTGGCCAGGCTGCCCCACACACAACATCTGCTCTAACCTTGTTTCTCATTTGCATAACTGGAGGCTCAGTGAGCCGTTCTTACTTTAACACACAGAACTTTGTAGCACCGGCTCTGTTTGAGCTGCATTAATGACAAACCTGATATTTCATTTATGATTTTTCTTCTGTTGTTTTCTAAAACACATTTTTAAGCTAATATTTAAGTTCAATATTAGTTTAGTTCATTACAGTATTGGAACAGATGCTTTTACAACTATATAGAAAAATAAATATTGTTTGGCCTTCCCTCTACTGTAAGAGACAGAAAAAACTCAGGACAATTTTCCACACAACATAACAATATTATTAAGACAAACAGGTCAAATTAATATGTTTTACATACAATACTTCTGCTCTTACAAAAAAAAAAAAAAACAATTGTGAATTTCTAAAGATCAGAAAAGGAGTTCCGTTCCACTGAAAAAACTAGTTCCGTTCTCCAGCAGATGGCAGTAGCACATCTAAAATCTGAACCAGTTGGAGGACAAGCCACGAGTTCATAGGTCAGTGTGTTCATGTGAACGCATCAACCACTCAGACGGACTCACGTCAAGCTTATGAGGTGTGTGAGATGTCCACGGGTCGTTAGGAGCGAGCTGGAATTTTTCTGTAAGTGTGTGTTCTCGTTCTTAGCGCACAGAGAAGATTTTTTTTTTTTAGCTTTTTGAGTCGTTATAGGTTTTTGGAAGCAGATTAAAGGTCTGCTGTCTGTCTGGATTTGGTGTGTGTGAGTGTGTTGCAGAAGAACATCATGTCTGAGAGAGAGAGAGAGACGGAGATAGAGCCTCCTGCGGTCCCGGCCAATGAAGCGTCACGTTGGGATGGGATGATGAGCGCTTTGTCTGCCCCTCCAGCTGCAGCTCTGAGCCACTAAAACTCAAATAGACTGAATTTTACACATGCAAAACAGCAGCTAAAAAAAGCCCAATCTCGCCTCAATTTATGACTTACAAAAAGGAATATAGATTTTTTTTTTTTTTAAATCTATATTTGTATGTTGATGTGTATGAGAGATCCAGGAAATCCTAAGATCTTTTTTGTTCCTTTTTGAACAAAGTGTGTAAAATTGCATGGCCATTTGTCCAACTATGATGTTTTTCTGTTTATACTTTGTATTTTCACATTTGCACAAACACCTACTCTGGTTTTTACTCCCTTTTGCACATCTGGTTTTTCTGCACAGATACATTATGAACGTTTCTGAAAACGTGATCCGACTGCACATCCTTTGGATCGTGACTCCAATATGTCTATTTCTAAAAACTACAGTCTTTCCTGTCAGTCTCATACAGTACACTTTCATTATTATTATTATTTCCTTATATTTGGTTTTTTAACACTTTAAGACCTTGTGTGAGCCTACATATCTGTTGCTGCTGTTTGCACCTAAATTTGTCTTTTCCTGGACATTGAAGTTTGTTTCTATCCTATTTCTATTCCATTATTGTCTGTTTGAAATAAATAAATAAATAAATAAATAAATAAATAAATAAATAAATAAATAAATGTACCTTTTATTTTAAAGTATCCTCTGCTCTCCTTCACATCACACACCAAAGCGGCTTATTAAGCAAATTACAATTTGTCATAAATTTCATCCCGTTTGTGATGGATCACTTAACATGTCCGCCAATCTAAGCCGGCCAAATTAGCACCGCGGAGGCCGAGGCTGTGAGCAATGTGGCGGAGACGCTTTGATCGCCGCCGATGCCATATGTTATGGTAACGCCGGGGAGGCCTGTGACATTTTTCACTTTTATCGACCAGCCTGACCCCGCTGGCCCCGGGACGGTGGGGAACTTTCATGTGTCGGCCGGGCGACCCCCAACGCAACTTCACGTTTAACGTCTCTAAGTGGCCCTCACTTTCACTCACATTAAAGACAGATTCCCTCCAGCCCTACCCTTCCATCCCCCCCACACACACACTATCAGAAACACACGGTCTCTCTCCCAACACTTTATCGAAAGCTCTTCCCGGTCCTGCAGAGCCGCGAAATCCAATCTGTACGGAGGAGGCCTGGGCTGGTCAGATGAAACTAGTTGTTACCTTACAGAGGGAGGCCGTAAATCACACAGTCAGGACTGTCTGTGAGGGTGAGAGCTCGGAAGACAGACGTACGTGTGTGTGTGTGTGCCTGCGTGCGTGTGTGTGTGTGTGTTTTCACGACGCGCACTCACTGCCTGGGCTCTCTCCGATGCTGCTGTGCTTTCCGTTCCAGTACCACAGCAGCAGGGTGGCGTCTCTGGAGCCTGTCAGGACGTAGCAGTCTCCACCGATGTACGACTCAGAGCGGGCGAGACACGTCACCACGTCCCGGTGTCCGAACACGATCTGCGTCAGCTTCCCTGCAGGCGGCCAAAAGAAAACCAGAAAAAAAAATTAGGACAGCTTTAAATGCAACGCAACCGAGACGTTACCGTGACCACATGACGAATAAATACATAAAATAGTGTTGAAATGTGATAACAGCAGTCAGAGCAAGAGGGAGGACAAGGACTTCCTGTTCAGGTGTAGCGCCAACGTTAATGTGGTTAACTAAAACTAACAGGATAACCAACACTGAAAATGGGAAAACATTTTTGTTAATGGAAATTAAAAAATATTAATGAGGAAAATCTATGAATAACTGGAACTATAAAACATTTATAAAACTAAAACATACTAAATTATAGATATAACATCCTCCCCTTTCATGTTTATGAACCCATTTATTAGACTTTTGAACAGATTGAAATGTATTTTTCTGTCAACTGTCAGCAGATTACACTGATCCACAAAATGGATGTTGGACAAACAAAAAGTCACATTGAAATAAAACAAAACTATAATGAAAAACTCAAAACTATTACAACCCTGTCTGACTCTGACTGCCTTGGAAATGTTAAATGTAAAATATTCTCACCAAAATCCTGGGGCTGCATTATTGTTTCATAATCTATTCAGACTGTTTGATCAGAACAGATTTAATTCTTTTTTCTCCCCATCTAAAATTGTGAAGAATTTGAGATGAAAATTTTTTTATGAAGGCTTGAAAAACTTCAGCAGGTGAAACTTAAGCAAACTTCAACTATTAAAATAAATAATCTTAACAGCTCACTCACTCTGTAACATGCTTATTTCAGAAGTTAAACGCACATTTTTCAGCTAAAGTTGGGTTTATGCACTTCAGTTTCTAAACTTCAGCCTCTTTTTAGGTAAGTATAGCCAGAAGCTGCTATTAGAATCAGGGTTTAGACGGCCACTGTTTTATCCAGCCAGGCTTTGGTAAATAAACGCTCTGCTGAAGAAGCTGCTCTGTAAGGTAACGGGAACGTTTAGATTCCAGTTGTCCAAAGAAATAATCAGCCAGTTTCACAAGTTTGTTTTTTTGTCGGTTTGCGGGAAATGCTGAATAAATCGCTGCAGTTCTTTGTGGCAGTGCATTAACAGAACTGCAGCACAGAACGAACGATCAGAAAAACAAGATAAAAAAAGAAAAATGGAAGAAACAAGACACATTTTAGATTTTGTCAGACTTTTTAACACTACAAAAACAGATTCTTGACCAACTTTGACTTAAGGCAAGAACAAAAAGCGGGACAAAGTGCTCTGACCTCTGACCTCTGCTACAAGCCGCTGAGTCAGAAGGATCCATTTTCTGCCAAGTTTTGAAAACTACTGCCGATGAGTCACTGCAATTCCATCAGCTGATATTGAGCATTAGTAAAACATAATTGGATCATCTGTGAGGTTCTTTCCCACAAAAAGCTGTTTGACATTCATGGAACAAATATGTAAATGTAGAAACAATCTGCCTAGAAGCAAAAAGGACCAAACAGGCAGTAGGGCTGTAACCCCAGGACATAAAAAAAGACTTTCCTGACAGATGCAACCGCTTTAGGTTCCCATCATGAGTTGATTATACGACTGATCTGAGATCAGACTTGTGTTAATTCCCAGACACGAATAAATAGTCGTTCCAAATGTGTGTGCTCGTGCACGGTGACCATGTGTATATGTAAAGAGGCTAATTGCTGTCAGATTTCAAGACCACAGCGCCACTGTCTCACCGTCTAAAACCCATTACGCCTGTCGGAACGTGACCTCGGCAGTCAAAAGGCGGATACTTCACAGCGCGGCGACGCTCCTGTCCCGGGTGTCGGAACTCGTCATCCTCCGGGAAAATTAAGACGCTTCTCCCTAAAAGTGATGTGGGCTATTATGAAACCGGAGCGGGTCAACGACTTAACTCCCCCCCCCACACCCTCCCTCCCTCTGAGAAGAACACAGGAGAACAAAGATGTGAAATGTTTGACGTTCTCATAAACAGTGGAAATAAGTAATGATGACTGCTGCAATAATGGCTACCATGCGCCTCAGATTAAACATGCGCTTCGCCGCACGCTTCTGGCCGCCTGTGGAAGGGAAGCTGCTTCCTCATGCTTCCCCAATCGGGACTCTGGGATCTGATAAAAATCCGCCGGCCCTTTAACCTGGCGGGGGGAATTGGGGGCGCCGGCGGCAGCTGCTGAGCTGCATTCGATTAAACTCTGTTCTTGTTCTAGTCGCACAACCTGGTGGCAGCAACACAATAGAGCCATCTCTGTGTTCTCACTCCCCCCCACCACCGCCGCCGACGCGCCCGGCCTGTAGAGAAATTGAATTGAGTCTGTTGTGTGGATGCATGTAGTGCTCTGAATGAGGCCGGGGGAAGACGCTGAGCGAGATGAAGCTTCAGACAGTCTCATTTAGGACCCCTGACCTCACTGCAGGTTTTTTTTCTTTTTTTGGTGAGAAAACGTTTGAATTGAGCTGATGATATTCAGGTATAAATGCTGGGCCATTCTCCTCAAGTTTGGAGGACGATTCAGCACAAACAGTGTAAGACTAATACAGGCCAGTGTTTGTGGAACCTTCATCAGGCTGAGGAGGACCACTCAACCCAGTTAACAAAACACTCACAGACCACCTAACTTGATACATCTTAGTACATACGCCCTGAAATTAAAATATTACTCTCTTTACTCACTTATTGTTGTCTTCTTTGCTCGCTGTAGTGAGAAGGATGGTGCTGTTTTTGAAATGTGACTGGCCGCAACAAAACCATGAACAAGTTTACTTGTTGGCGTTTTGAGTTATTTACAGATTCTAAGCTAAGTGTTGCATGTATTAACATCTTTGGGCTATTTGTAATTTAAAAGCATCATAAAAGGAAAATAGATCTGAGTTGATCGGGTGGAAACAATAATTCTCTTTCAGCTTGACGAAGCTCCTCACTTCATATCACACTCAGCACAGCCGCAGGTACAGGCCAGACTGGCCTAGATCTGACCTAGATCTGTGTCTGTGGCATGCTGTGGATCATAATAGTGTTCTACAGATAAAAACAAAAGTTCTGTAACTCAACCTGAGAAACTGAAAAATATTCCTGCAGACTGTAATTCCTCCCACCTAATAATAGTCTTGACGTTGTTTTCTTTTCACTGGTATTTTCAACTTTTCTTTTAAGTGACCCAGTCTAAAGTCAAATATTAATCACAATCCTTTGGACAAGGCTAACTTGTCTTCATGCAGTACCTTGCAGACCACTAGGGGACTCCCTCAAGCAACTCCTTCAGACTAGCCAGCAGCAATTAGCAAACACTTGGTGGAACTGCAGTCAAGTGAGCTGATCATATGAGTAACTTCTTGGTAAAATGCTGGTAAAAATGTTGCTAAGGGGCTAATAGAGGAGCCATGTTGTGATGACTTCCTGAAGGCGAAGTGTTGGAAAGAGCAGGACTTTCTTAGACAGTGGTCCAATTTCAAGGCGTTAAACTACTAAGTCAAATATCTTTTGGTTCATACTTGATATTTATAGCTTTTTTATAACAAACTGAAGGTAATGGTTACTTAATTGTGCTATAAAATGGAACTATGTGGAAGGAAAACATATGATACTGCCCCTGTAAGACGACCCAACAACTCTGACCAGTTTCTCTGTTCATGCTAAAGAAGCTCATGGTTGATGCACATCAAGTTTTTCACCACATGGTGTTTTGCATGCAGACCATAAAGACTGGTCTCGGCTTACCACAGCACCTTCTTCGACATGTTTGCTAGAGTTTGGATTTATGACCCGAGGCTGACCCGAACCCAACCCAAAATTCAGGCCAGGTCGGGCAAAAGTTATTTTCTAGATAGTCGGGTCAGGTCGGGGGTCGGACTTCTATGGCATGCTGAATAAGTACAGAAAAGGCACAGAGAAAGCCAAGTGATACAAGGTTGTGTTAATATACATATTGTAGTGTAAACACAGGAGCAGGTAGTTTATTTCCTTAACAGGTTAAACTAAGTAATCGTGGTGCAGAAGCTCCGACTGTAACGAGCGCAGCGCATTGTGTGATCTCATCAATCGCACATCTCAGATGATTTGCACTTGACTCACCTTGCGGTTAAAACAAGCGACAAGAAGGAGCTGGAAGACGTCAGACAAAAACTAAAAACAGGAAAACCTACACTGCTTCCTGAACGCTGGTCAAAAACAAAAGCGATAAAATCGTAATGTCAGGTTTACATTGGGCTCAGGAATTAAAGTGAATTAGTTGGGTTGGATCAGACCAACCCAAATAAATCTGTAGGGTCAGGTAGGATTCTTTTAGGCCCGATCTAAACTGACAACAGATCAAGCAGAAAAATCCACTTCTCCATCAGCTACCTGTGTCGGTGGAGTAGACCCGGAAGCTCTTGTCCCAGAAGCCACACAGCAGGATGAAGCGGTTGTCGGCGGTGATGATGAAACACTGCGAGCTGATCTGGATGCTCTGATCCAGGAGGTCTGAGATCTGACGCCGGTGAGAGCCCACGTTGCTGGCTGCAAGGAAGCAAACAGAATGCACACAGGAATCCAACACACACTCTGAGGACGGCCGACGTGTCGGATAAACAGCCGGGAGCTCGCGCTTTGATGCTCCTCCGCCGAAGTGTCGGTGTGAAGGAGATTTGTGGGACGACGCATAAAACATCCCGGAGATTGAGAGTTTATGGAAACTGCGGCATTTTCCAAGAGGGGAGTAAGAGTGTGAGTGATGTCCCGGTGTGAATCGACTTTACAAAAAAAGGAACCCCACTCTAACCGGGACGAACACACCAGATTCATCTTCGCATGATCAAATATCGTAAATCGCAACTCTGATTTACCGACGCCATTTACCAAAAGTGCTATCTTTGAGCGGCTCTCCTGAAGAAAAACGTTGTTTTCTTACTTAATGGGGTCAAACGTGTGGGTGGAGGGGCGGAGGGAGCAGGTATGTCTTGGAGCATTTAGAGTATCTGCTTCTACTAATATTTCAATTTTTTAACATACCCCAGAGCCACAGATGGCTCAGCGTTCATCCTCAATTTACTGTGTTTAGCTCCAGCTCCTCCTGGAATGCAAACAGTGTAAATATATTACTGACAAGAGCGAAACTCCCAGCTACCTCCCCCAAAATGTGCACGCACTCCCCCAAGACACTTTAGCGGTAGAGACGAGCCAATGTGACACGATGATAAACATCTAATTCTATCGAACCGATAACCAGTCCAAAAAAGGTGTTTTAGTAACGAATGGTGATAAAATGCTTCTGGAATTAGATTATCTTACTATCCTAATCTTTTACAGGCCAAATGGAAGAAATGTGCACTAGAAAAACACCAAATCTTACCAAGTAGATTTGCTACAGTTTCCAGTGCAAATATGCAAGTAGTACACTTGAAATGAGACAAAACTAATACGCAGGGTTCCCTCAGTAAGAAATAAATGGATTAAACACATGATAAAATAAAACAATCTCACTAATTTCCATTTGCATGACTTGTAATTTTTCTCTTTTCTCCTTTTTTTTTCTTTTTTAACCTAAAACTGGATGATAAACTTCTCCCATCTGGCGCTTTGGTCTCAAACAGCTTTTTTTTTTGTTGAATTTTTTTGAATTTTAAATTATGTTCTTTACATAATTTATTTTATGTGTTGTTTCTGTTTTAGACAGAAACAATGTCTTTCTGTCCCAGTGATAAATCTCCATTCAAATTTAAAGTTGATCTTTCAGAATGTGTTCTTGCATTATTACGCCATTATCATTACATTACTTTAAAATGATCTCAAAACAACAATATTATTGTTTATCACAATAACTTCTGAGACAAATTATCGTCCAGCACTATTTGTTATTTTGACATGGCTGTTTATGTGCAACTTTTCAGAAAAATATAGGAGCTTGTCTTAAGTCAACAATTTATTAATGTTGATTTTAAAAAAGTACTTTCACAGGCAGATTATTTCACTTAACACAAGATATGTTTCCATAAGTGAAATAATCTGGGAGCAGAGCAAGTTATTTTACATCAATATTATGTTGCTGAAAAGTCACTTCTAAGTCAGTTTTGTCTTATTTCAAGACATTTGCAGCAGAAACTAGAACAAAAGCACTTGGTAGGATTTTGTGTTTTTGCAGTGCATCGCAGGATTAGGATGAATAACTGAGCGTCGACTCTGGTTATTTTCAGTAGTCAAGTGTTTGGGAAGAAAAAAAAAAAAAACCATCCCGTGAGAGTGACAGTGACCACAACATTCGCAGAGAAAGAACAGCCTGCAGCCCACATCTCCCTCTCCTACTGCAGATGTGCATCAAACACCCTGCAGGAGGCGAGAGGCGGGCGCAGACGGACAGAGGAGGCGTGTTTTCTCGCCGCTCCGCCGGCGCGCCCCATACATCACTGCAACCCGGCGCTCTCCCGCTCATCAACAAGTCGTGAAGGATGAGAGGCGCACATATTGTCCTGACAGCCGTCCGCCGTGCATTCTCAATCACACATTATTACCGCATTCATATTCATTTTCACTGACACGCGTCCTTTCCCTCTGCACAAATTAAACCAAAAGAAGATGCAGTAAAGGGGAGGGAGGGAGGAGCAGGGGAAAGGGAGCGGGGTGAGGGGGGCTGATGATGAAATGCTGGCCCAGGCCACAGCTCATTGCATTCCAATTTGCATGCAAATGGTTTAGTGAAAGAGCAGGGCCTATATCATGACGAGTGAACTGGGGGTAGCAAGGGGGGGTGGCTGAGAAACAACTCTAATCTGGTGTCCAGGGACACGGCTCCGCGCGCCGCCATGAGTCACCGGTGGGGACGCCGCACGCAGATCCGCGCACGCGATTTCATTTCATGCATAAACAGGTTCACATTCAGGCACGGGCGGATTCCTTTTAATGGTCATAAATGACAGCGTACCTATCAAAGGGTCAATTTCCACAGGAAGTTGGTACTGCTGCTCCCCGGCATTCTGATGACCTGACAGAGAAGAAGACAGATTGGATTAATATGGTAATGGAGTGGCCTTGTGAAACAGAAGCTGCATTCGAGGTTATTATAACACACTGAAAACTATAACCATAATCCTATAATGTGGCCCGCTGGCCTAAGACTGCTGCCATGAATTATAGATCAATTATGTCCAAATGTTACTGAGGCTACAGAGGATATAAGCCCCAACAGTCCTGCCTCTGCACCGGCCCAGAAATATTGATTTCGTAGTGATGGATAATGAAAAGGGATTTTTATTTTTCCCATATTAATCATTAAGACATGAACTCAGACCGGAACCTTCAGAGCCACATAAAGAGTTACAAAGTCGGCCTTCTGTCACCTGAAGAGCATTTTCCAGGATGAGAAGACTGATGTCTCAGTGAGATCTAAAGAAACATCAACGTGTTTATCTTCAGTCGCATTGATTACTGCAACAGCGTCTTCACTGCTCAGCCTAAAATAAAGTATAATCAGCTGCAGCTGATCCAGAACGCTCCTGCTGGTGTTCTCACTAAATCCAGGAAGATGGAGCATCACTCCAGTACTAAAGTAACTACACTGAGAGAACCAGATCCAGACCTGGAGGAGCAGCATTCAGCTTCTATGCTTCACAAATCTGGAACTTCCAGAAAACTGCAAAACAGCTGAAACACTGAGTTCCTTTAAGTTTAGACTAAAAACCCAGCTGTATAGAGCTGCCTTTGAAACATAATAAATGGAACACTGACCAACATATTTGATGTGTGTTGATTATTTTGATGATGGCAGTTTGTTACTCATTTTCTCAATTGGTGACCTTATTATGTTTATATTACTTCTTATTTTTGTGCTTTAATGACATAAAACATTTTAAATTGCCTTGTTGCTGAAATGTCCAACACAAATAAACTTGACTGATTGGTAAAAACATCTACTCAAAAAATATGCTATTGATTGTGATCCATTTTAAATTAAAAGGCTGTCTTCCTGGCTCAAACGGTTGACATGGTTGCTCTGGAGACGGTGCAGCCCTTGGAGGGCTTCCAATGCTAACTACAACCAACCAATCAGAGCCAGGAGGAGGGTCTTAGCGCCGTCAATCATGAACAGCTTCTCCCCATCAGCAGAGCCTGTCACGAATGCTAAGGCTAGTTAGCATGGCCACTGATGACGGCAGATAGACAGCTTTCCTGTAACAGTGAGTTGTTTCTCTGCTATTAGCATATTTAGCAGCTCATTCGTGATATTGATTGACAGCACTAAGACCCTCCTCCTGGCTCTGATTGGTTGTTTTTGGTTGAGAGCGGAGCATTTCTTCAGACTGTCACAGTAGCTCAGGGAGGAAGAGGAGGAGTTTGATCTTTTCACAGATTATGTGTCTTATACTGTCACGACATGGTAATAGTTTTAACAAATAAGTAAAAATAGTTTTTATAAAGGTTACATATCACAGCTTTAACAGAGGTAAAAAAAAAAAAAAAAGATTATGGAGAGCTTCTTGTGAAGACTGTATTACACAAACTAAATACCACGATCAGTCGAGTCTTTGTTGCTCACAATGTGGTTCATATTCCACTAAAAACAAATCAGCTTCATGGCCCCGGGGTTTTTCCTGAGGTCGAGTGAGTGTTGGGTAAATAAGACTTATGAAAGTGAAAGGCTGATGTATGGAAGTGGACATGAGACCCAACGCTGGCTGTTACATGTGTCACATTTGATACAGCTGCCTGGTAGACACAGTCAACCGTCTCTCAAATCAACGTCCGTCCCGTACAGGCAAGACAGTCTGATCTTCATACAAATACAGCGTTAACCAACCCGACCACAGGACTCATGACGTGACCTCAAAAAACACCACAAAAACACGCCAACGTGCCGAAACCACCGACCTGCCAAGCCGTGCCATTTGTTGACAGAGAAGAGACGGTTGGCGGTGACGGTTATGATGGCGGGCGACGCGAGGCCCGGCTGGGTGTTGGCCGCCACGTGGGTCACAGGAGAATTGGATGGGAACTTCAGCACCATGATGACGTCCTGCTGCATCTGCTCCGTGAACATCATCGGCGTCTGCAGGAGAAGATACTATTCAGGGAACCAGGGGACAAGATGACCGGACAGAACAACAGAGACCACAAAGCAAAACGAAAGCAAAAAGATAAATAAATAAAAAGTTAAGGGAAGCAAGTCAGGGTGGAGGCAGCAGGGAGAACAGGAGGAGGAGAGAGGGAGGAAAGAAGAGCACAGAGAGAAGGTTAAGCAAGGACAGATGGCAACAGGACAGAGCTGAGCTCAAATTTAAAAATGCAGAATGTTACTCATGACTGCACTTGGAAGCAATTATCACTGAACGGAGGAAATATGTCTTAGTGTTGAAAAAAAAAGACTAACAAATTCAACAAATGACAAATATCTGCTCAGGAAGTTGGATGCAATTCCAAAAAGTCCAACTTGTGATAATTATTAGAGCAGCGTAATAGCTGATAGTTGATTGTGCCACATAACAGCACATAATTCTGACTCTTTAAGCCTGCTTTTCATTTCAGTCTACATTGAAATTTTTTAAGACTCTTTTTTATAAAATGCACACGTTTTTTTTTTTTCTCCTAACTTACTGACTTAAACTTGTTTTTTTGAACGTACAACACAAGGGCAAAAATACCCCACTATCCCATCAACCTGTCAGGCTGCTTCCTCTGCTCAGGCAACATTTAGCTCAAATCTAAGTAGTGTTTGAACTAAGCAGCTTGAGCAGAAAGCCATTTTCCTCCTTGCGTGTAAAGTAGAGGAACATAAGTGTTTAACATCAGGAAGAGACCTGGGTAAATCCGGTTCATCTGACAGCTAACTAGAAGCACTGACAGTATCATTACCACCGGCGCGGGGCGGACGCCGACACTGACAACGCGCCGGCTCGAGAGGGAACAGGAGAGAAAGTGGAAGCCAAGAGAAGCGAGCAGCAGAAGGAAAATAAAGGTTTGGGGAAGGTTAGAAATGTGTTTGAAAAGCTGTCTGAACGGCATGTCTTTGAAAACTATATTTGGAGGAGTAAAAAAAAAACAAAAAAAAAGAAAAAAATTCACAGAATCCACCCGTACGGTTGGGCGGCAGATTCAAAGGACCGGCCCGGGTTTGTGTGTGTGTGTGTGTGTGTGTGTGCTGGGTGGTGGTCTGCACAGCCAGCTGTCAGCGCCGCAGGGACACCACACTAATAAGGACTCCTGGGACCTCGGCCCCATCACAGGCAGGAACTACTGACTGCACTCCCCAGCACATAAAGGGCCATCGCTTCAAACCAGCCCATCTCGTGTTTCCAGCTCAGGTGGGAAAATCTGGATCAGACCCAGATTTCCAGCAGAAAATCTTTTACCAAAATGCATCTCCGCACAAATACTTGTTATCTCTTCCTTTCACAAGCACCTCACTAATAAAGAAAGAGGAGGGGGCCGTGCTCTGGAAAAGGCAAGAGGATTTCCCAAAGTAGGGAAGAGCAAGATAAGGAGAAAAACGAGGAGATTGTAAACAGTCGTATTTGTGGAGGACCAGAAGTTAAAATAAGACAAAAAGAGGAATGAGGACCAGTTGGACACTTACCACTTGCATGGCTGAACTTCGAGGCGGGTGAGGCTCAATGAGCAGCTGAGAAGGAGTCTGTCCAAAACTCCTGATCTGAGACTCCACGGCCTGAGGAGGCAGGAGAACACAGACACGCAATCACTATGAAACTGTTTCTGTAAGTTCAAATCCATTTATCTCTCATTATAATGTCAACGAGTCTGATCTCCATATCTATGATAGATCACGACTGTTTGAAAAATACAAACATATGAAATTAGTCCTGTGTGATTGCTGCAGATTCTCAGATTACTGTTTTAACACAGATTAACAGATTACAGTGAAAAACTTAAAGGTACATGTGTTTAAGGGCCTGAACTACAGAAGATGATTAGGATTACTGGAAAAAAGAAGAATTCTGACTTTTTTCCTCAGAATTCTCAATTCTGATTTTAATCTCAAAATTAAAGAATTGAGATTAATTGAGACTGAGTAAAATAAAACATCAGAATTCTGAGATCAAAGACAATTCTGAGATTAAAGTCAGAATTTTGAGATTAACATCCAAATTCTGAGGAAAAAAGGGCAGTATTTGTGTTTTTTTTTTTAAAATACATATATATTTTAATCAGTAGCCCTAATCATCTTCTGTACATGAACACACTTTACATATAAACATACATATTTCACTGTCTTTTGTTCACACGTTTACACACAACGACTCATTTGTCCCGCAGTTGGACTGAGAGGACAGGAGGAGGGCCGGCTGCCTGGCCTCCGTGGTTAGGTGGTGTTAATGAAGAGGTATAGGACCATAAATGTCAGAGCAGACGCCGGCCCAACAGCCTCTGGACAGCATCACGGCTCTCACTGTCAGGCCAGCCGGCAGCAGCGACGGACGCTCAGAGCTTCACTGAAGCCTCATAACTCTCCACTCAGCCGATTCAGAACAGCACCAACATCTGCTACCGATACACTCTTTTCATGTTTAGGTATTTTACCTAATAAATGCTAATTTGTTTTACATTTTAAAATAATGCCACAATGGAGGAAAAACAAAGGCCAATTTCATTTTGAGTGGACAAACAGAAGGACTGTTGAGACAAACCTGAGGAGGTGTTGATGATTTGGTGCAATTAACAGATCAGTTAGTTTTAATAATCCTTGCTTGCTCATGTTACTACTGCCCACATTATTTTGACTAATTTTAGACATATTTTAGAACCAAACAGCTAATGAGATCATTAAATGTAAATGTGTGTATTTATTTTTTATGTCTGGGCCCACAGACCTATCTGTGTAGGTGTGTTTCTGTGGTGGTTCAGTTAACTGTGTACTCAGCAGTTCTGTTTCTTTCCCAAATAAAGCTCTACAAGTAGCTGTTGTCATTATCTTTGTATACCCTTTTCTTTTCTAATGGATCCATTCTTGGCTCAGTAGTTGTATTACTTGGAGCTAGTGCTGCCATTAATGCAATTTTATAAAGTGCAGCTTTTATTTATCAAAAAACAAACAGAAAACACCCAGAAAAACAAAAGGGAACCACTGGACTACAGATTTGCTTTGCTGCAGTTCAGGCTTTCTTTCTGACATACGACCAATTTACTCCAACCTGTCGATTCCAAATTTGAGCCTTTTTTTAACTACAAGGACAAACAAAAAGCAGTCTTGAAGTTTCTTTGGTAAATAGAGTGACAGTCTGAACCCAACGGTAAGTGAAGGAATTACAAGATTTCTCCATTAATGAATCAGAGGGAGATTTGGTAAACCTTATTTGATTAGTACTACATTATAATGTATTAATGCATTTATAAACCTAATATGGTGGGAGTTATTTGTGTTGATGGAGGGGAAAAAACATTCTTTTATATATATAATTGACCTGGTTGTCTCCAATCTGGGCAATCAAGTGAACGTTGGCCAAGTTCCTCTAAACGCTGCAGAGCTTGTCTGTGAAAAAATATGCAAAGGAGCTAAAAACGCACCAAGATACAAGAATGTTAAGACTACAAAAAAAGAGGTCTTTATAAGATAAGAACGGGCCTGAAGAAAATGACCAAGACAGAATTATGACAGCATGGTCAACGTGTTGTTGCCGTGCTCTGTGACTGGCTGTGTAGGAGTGACAGAGTGAGTGTGTGTGTGTGTGTGTGTGTGTGTGCGTGTGCGCGTAGGCTGAAAAGGTCTGAGTCTGACTTGGCGCAGCCTGGAAATGAGCTCATGGTTCAGACCTCTGTACGGCATTTCCATGAGAAAAAAAAAGGTCAGGATACGAGTCTCTTCATACCTATTGTCTGAAACTAACCAGAGGAGCACAGCGCAGGGAGGGGTTTTAACACTGATATATTAAAGTTTCATCACATTATTAAAGGTTGAGAACTCAATCCCAGAAGGTCTATGCTGATTATTTTCTTTGTAAACGTGGAATCACAGTATGAAACTAGGGAGTTCAGACAGCATGACAGCAATAATTCAGAAAACCAGAAGTTTGGAGCAGAATTATAGTTTGTGAAAGTTTGGACTTAACAAGACCAAGCCAGAGGTTCAGTTTATGATACCTGAAACTGGATGAAATTATCTTTGTGGTTGAAAACCACGGGCAAAAATAAAAAAAATTAAAAATGAAAGATGTGAATTTAGTTCTTAAGTTTTTAAGTAAATTCTTCTATTTTACAGAGTTTTACATCATTTTGTCATTTCACTCTTTAGAGAGTAATACTGAGAGTCCAACAATCACGTACTGTCTGGGTAATCAGAAGGGCCAGCCTGTTGATAGTTTGTTCATTGCAGTTGTAAGCAGTATTAGCTCATTTAGAATGACTCCGTTAGTGTTCTCACTATGACTGTACAGGTTTTTTCATGCCAGAATTAGGCATGCAAACAATGAATTGACTTATGATTGTTGATTAACGGTTAATTAGATTAAAATTGGTTCAAATTGATTAAATACTACGACCATTTTTCAGCGCCGTCATCCAGAAGAGCACGCTACTGGTCATTGTTAAGCAGAGCCAGTTGATACAGAAATAGAGATGGCGGGGCCATACGAGAAAGAGAAACAGTTTTAACAATGTCCGGTGACAGGAATTCAAAATGTACTTTATCTGGTTCTGTTTAGAAATATGAACACACAACAAACTCTTTAAGTTATCAACTTAACACTCATTCAGCCAAAACAACTTCTCATTTAAAAATGACTGATATGCCTCAAAGATGAAAAGTGGAGAGCATTGTGGCAAAAAATCGTAACATGATGGAAAAAGACATGACGGTAATGAGCATGGTTAATTTAGAGGGTGGAGGTGCTGTGGTGGTGTAGGGGTACAGATCCACCCACATATGGAGGCCTTAGACTTCAACAGGGCTGTCACAGGTTCGGGTTTCGGCCTGATGACCTTTACTGCAAGACGGTCCCCTTCTACCCACTTTTCTGTCTCTTAGTTTAGGTTCAACAATATATATATATATATATATTTAAATGCACAATATTTAAAGACCATAATTGACCAAGCATCAGATCCTCAATAAGATGTTTCTATTTATTTTTCAACTCGCACCCAATAACTAAATTGCGGCGAATAGAAAGTCCACAATGATTCACCCAGAACACTTCAGTGGTTAATTTCCTCTAAGCGTCATGACCGAGACTCCGAATATTTTCCATCTCATCCACATCAAGTCTTGAAGCGTCAGTGCATCATTCAAGGTCAAGGCAGCATCCTCCTCTGACAGCAGAGTGAAGCACCTTGCTTAAGCTAATGTGTGGAAAAACTCCTCAAAGGCTCCTAACTTATCTTCATTAGGTGCAGACTGGACATTTACGAGGCTGTCTAGCGGAGGAACGGCGCTGAGTGTAGGTCAGGATGTCCTATCCCTATATGCCAATGCAATGCTCAGGTGATTATATGGGGCGCCATCTACAAGGCCAATCTCTTTTGGAAGCGCTGGACCGCGTCTGATGAGGGTTTTCTGAATTCTATACATTTAAATGACCGAGTCGCCCTCAGCTTAGTCCCGGCCTGCCCTTTGATTTATTCAGCCAACTTGACAAGATGGATTTCCATGCAAAACATCTCAGTGGTTATGTAAATCGGCCTGACATGAACTCAAAACAGATTTAAAACAAATCAAATCACCAGCTGTCTGTCCAGCAGGGATGTCCAACCTGAAAATGAGAACATAAGCCAAAAGAGACAAAGCAAGAGATTTTAAAGGGATAGCATTATGTAAAATAAACTTTGAGCTTTACATCGTGTTATGATGTTATTCATAACATGTTATGATGTTATTCATAACATGTTATGATGTTATTCCCTCGTTTAAAACAATCCTGGAGTGGTGCTTTGATTTTTTCTTGCATGTTTAAGAAAACATTTAATCTCCCGTGGTAAACATTCAGCTTTGCGAAACATCTGGATGGACCTAGCCCCGCCTTTGAGACAAAGCTCCTCCTCAGAGCTGTAGTTTCACAGAGCATCCCACACTCACATGGCTCCTTCAGACTAGCCAGAACAATTAGCAAACACCTGGTACAATGGCGCATCTGCTAAGCTCATTATACGAGCTACTTCTCAATAGAGGAGCCATGTTGTGACGACTTCCTGAAGACAGTTTCAGAAAGAGCAGGAGTTATGAAGGAAACAGAGTCCACGTTTCAAGGTGTTAAACTACGACGTTAAATTTAAATCATTTTTACAACAACTGAAGTTAACAATTTCTTGACTGTGGTATAAAATGGTACTATGTGCCTGAAAAACCCATAGTCCTGCCCCTTTAAGGAATATGACCGACTTTGAAAACGTGTGGACGCAGGTACACTCGCAAGGCTTTTCTGCCGAATTACACAAATGCTGTACAATTCAAACAGGGATCTGTGTTTTGTCCATGCCGTGAGAGGTTGCTGGATTTTTCCATAATCACATATGAAAGAGGGGAAGCCCTGTAGGACGACGCAAAGGCAAATCAGGCCAAGTCTCCCCCCCTTTACTCCGAGAGGCAACGCAGATGTGCATGTAACCCCACCACAAGAACACACACCAGTGTGTGCACATGGTTTCTCCCTGCGCTGAGTGGCGGAGGCAAGACAGGAAGTAATCACGCGGTTGAAAAACAAGGCACCGGTATCCAGAGCAGTCACTAATCTGTGCTGAGCTATTCCACACTTTCTCCCCCAGACACACACACACACAAAATGCAAGTATAAACACTCGATTGTGGTCATTTATGCTGATGAGCACGCATAAATATACAAATGTATAAACATGCCAATACAAAATGTACACAGACACACCCGTATGCACCAACATAACTACGTGGAACACACACACACACAACGCTCCAAGAGCGTGTGGATAGGAGGGAGATGTGGTAGAGAGCAAAGCAAAAGGTACAAACCATCTAACCCATTGTCGTAGAAAACATGCACACAGATCTGTGGCCACTCCTCCACTTCCCCCCACCGACTCTGATCCGCCCCAGGGCCCGTCGCAGCTCAGGCCAGAGCTCAGGCTGAAACAGTTGTCACTCAGTAATGACAGACTCTGGGGGCCCTTTCAGGCCTAAAAATCCCTCAAACTCCCTCCCCAGCGCCCCGATGTGACGAAGGCCAGGCTCGAGACTCTGTTTCCACCTTTCTGCGCAGACAGGCCACGTTTCCTTCCGCAAAAAACACAACCAACAGGGGAGCCTCGGATTAGCTCACATGGGCAACACTGCCTCGGTTTATCTAACTAATTAAAGTGCTCAGACTGAGAGTGTTTTCACAGATGAAAGACGGCAGACTGGAGTCACAGCGTCAAACGGCGGAGGTAGAGAAAACAACAAGCTTCTGTTCGTCTCCAGGGATTGACGCAAGCTTTAAGGTTTTATTGGTATTTCAATGAAGCAGTGAGTCAATGCTGGCTTCTGTTTGTTGTTGTTTTTTATACTGAAACCATAAATGAATTTTATGGCTTCAATCAACCATAAAATTGCACAAACTAGAATTATAAAAATAAATTGGCTTAATAGAAACACGACAATTTTGAAAAAAAAAAAAAATTAATCTTGTTTTCTGTTAAGTTTTGGTGCTTGGATGAGGTGGTTTTTTGGTTGCATCAAAATTAGCATATTTTCCAGAACTGCACTGAAAACACCTTTTTGTCCTGCATCACTTGAATCATGTGATCAACAACCGGATGAGAGTATCGCTGGAAAAACTGAAAAGGCCAGGAAGTGGTAGGAGGATGACGACACAGGTAGTTTTTAACGACTTATCGCGTGAACAAACGTATTCACGTGTGATTTTAATCGCATTTCTAAGTTAATAGAAACACTGCAGTTGCGAAATTAAACTTTTTCGATACAAGTGGAATAGCAACAAAGTTTTGCGCAGATTTGTAACATCCCTGACGTTTTAAATAGATAATAAAAGCTTAATTCAAAATAATTCTCTTTGTAATGATTAATGAAACACAGAATAAAAACAGAAACTGCGGCTAATTAGAAAATATTTGTAAGCAGGTGAATCTAAGGTGTGTATTCTTACACAGAAAGCCACAGTGGGAGGAATTCTGTTTCTAATACAAGTGAAATCCTGTGTTCCTGTCTCTGCCGGTTCTGTGTACATTGGTAGAATAATCAATACCTTTGTCTTTGGAACAGCTTGGAAGAAATAGTGCAGTACCACGGATCCAATTTTCTGGTGTGTGTGTGTTTGTGTGTGTAAAGGCCAGAGCACATCTGGATGGGAATTAGGGCGAATAAGGTGATAAATCAAGGATGTGCCCCTTGTGCCCGTGATGCTCCAGTCAGTGAGTCATGAAGGGCGGCTCTACAGTGGAGGCCACTTGACGTACACTGAACTAATCTCCATTTACACTTGGATGCTGGGACACGTCTAATTTATGACTAAATGAATCTTGTTTTCTTCATTTTCTTCCATGATTTTCTGTTGATTTAAGAACACTCAACTTAGGCCGGGGCGATATGGAATCAGAATTTTGTCACAATATTTTCTGGTACTGCTGCGATAACAACAGTATCAACGGAGTTTAAAAACATTTATTGCTTATTTTTTAGGTAAATAGTTTTGCAGAATGACTGCATGCGACGACACAAATACTGTTCTTGAAAAGCTTTCTCATCTGAAAGAGGTTTCTTCTTGAACAGTGACTTAAACCACTAACCTGCACACAGTAACTGCGTCTTATAGTTTTGAATTTACTGATGTTTACCGATGCTCTCGTGGAACAAAGAGGGAAGAAAACGGCAAACATTCCCTTTGTTTATTTTTAGTTTATCAATAACTAAAATGCATCATGACAACGATAAATCAACTTTCTTTTTCATGATAAACGATACGATAAATACCACTGTTTAAAACTGTTAATGTCCATTTGATGAAATGCTACGCTAGCTAAGTGAGAATACTCTGAAAGTAAGCAAGTAAATGGTTGTAATGCATTTTTTTGTGTTAATGTGGTATTTTTACTTACCATTACCATACCATAGCCTTTATTGTTCAAATTAAATAATGTTCCAAACTATTGATGCACCAATATGGACATTTGGGGCCAATATTGATAAGTGAGGTCAGTCTTGCTGTTTTGGCCTATAACTTCTAACACCATGTTTGTGTGGATCCACTGCCCATCCGAAGTCTGTTTTTTCATTTGCACATTAATATTGTACACCAAAGTGCCTTTTATGCTCAAAACTTGATGTACGTTTATTTAATTATTTATTCTAGTTTTATGTATTCATTGTAATTGACTTTGAAGTTTTGTTTAGTCTAATGTGCTGCAGTCTTGTCCCTTGTTCTAAGACAAATTTCTCCCACGGGAGACAAACAAATGATCTTGTCTTATCTTATGATTTATGGTTATCTTAAACATCAGGACAATAAAATTAGCTCCCAAAGTTTTCTCTTGCATTGTTTCACACAGAACTCAGTTTTGCAGACTTCACTGCACACCAACAACTATGTTTCAAAACTACAAAAAAATGCCTCGCCCTACAGCTGAGATTTTTTTTTTCTCTAATTTGTCAACAATAAAAAGAGTATAACCTCTCCCCACCCCCCTTGGTGCTGAAAGTTATATATCAGATAGGCTGATGTGAGCCAGGTCAGTTGGCCTTGCTGCCTCTCGCAGCCGATCAGTGAAGTTGTCAGGCCCGTGTTTGGCTGTGGGCGCCCTGGCTGTGTTTTTCTTCTCAGCGCTGTGTCTTGTGTGCTTGCTTTCAGGCAGCACCCGGCGTAGCTCGTGTGTGTGTGTGTGTGTGTGTGTATGTGTGTGTGTGTGTGTACATGCCATGGTTCAAAGTGGTGGGAATGAATAATGAATGAAAGCAGAGGAGGAAGCTTTAAGGCGTTAAAGTGGAACACTTGGTGGAGAGCTTTCAAAAAGGTATTACACGAGGGAAAGGCTTTGCTCGGCAAAACCTGCCTGTAGATTGTTAGCTTAGCTCTCCCGAGCCACTCCACAGGCAATTTGGCTTTGCTAATGGGATAAAAAAAAAACAACAAAAAAAAAAACCCTGAAATACGGCTTGCTTTTGTAATGTAGATTAAACATCAATCTGAGAGGGCCCCGGTGTACTTACAGTAATAGAGTATTTTCTGCCTTACTCAGCAGGATAGAGGATGTAAAGCAGCAGGCTCACCTCTCTGAGCATGGGGTCGTTAATGGAGCTCAGGTTGACCGCGCCTTCATATGTCAGATAGTAAAAAACATTGAGGGCCCTGGCAGCTTCGGGTCCCTGCTGCTTGTAGCCGAAAATCAGGTCAATCCACTGGTGGAGCTGGCAGGACACAAACTCGCTCTCCAGAGCCTGCGACAGAGACACAGGAAAAAGGGTTAGAAAGTTCTATAAATATCAACACATGAATACTATAAAATAATTCTTTGACCTACAGAAATGCTGCTTCCCAAGTGAGGTCAGTCTTGCTGTTTTGGCCTATAACGTCTTCATGGATAACATGTTCCACTGGCAGATTATTTCAGTAGCAACACGAAAAAATGCCTTGTAAGTGAAATAATCTGCCAATTCACATCACATAATGTGCCAGTAAGCCATAACGGTTCGTTTTCATCTGTTGTCTCTCAAGGTGCAATGAAAATAAATACAATACATTCTCAAAAAAGAAGAGAATAAAAATGATAAATAAAAAGCATTTTTTTAAATATATAAAATTCAGCATATCAAGATACAAGTTTAAAAAGAATAAAAAGCCATTTTGAACAAATGCAGACAATCCCTAAAAAATAGAATTAAAATAAAACCACATGATCTGTCGCTGCATTTTTGATCATCTAGGAGCCAAACTTTTAACTTGGAAGTTAAGAATTTGTGTGTCATTCCAACGCATGGACTCCATAGCTCTTCTGTAAAATGGCCGACTATTATTTCCCCAAAACGTTGCACTAAAGTATGCAGGGCTGAATAAGAGGCCAACGTGTCCTCTGATTGGCTGATAGATGAGTTATTTCACCATGGCTGAATGATGAATATATTTGATGCAACTGTTTACATCCATCGCCGTTATGACTTCTAACCACTTATTACGTGAACAAGTTTATTCACATGTGATTTTAATTTCATTTATTTAATAAAAACACCAATATTGCAGAAATGGTGTTTTGTCGACATTAGCGGAACACAGACTAACATTTGCTCACATCTGCAGCAGCTGATGCCCTTCAGAAAGCATATTCCTCAGAGAGCGCAGCACATCCCGCTAATTGTTCCTGTGATAGAATCTGAAGATGATTTTTATAACGAGCAAAACGCACAACGTACCCACATCTGATCATAAGGGAACATCAAAACTCTAGTAGCTCATTAGGGAAACGTTTGGGCTCCGTCTTTGTTCTACGGGAGCTGACAGCGGCACGGCGTTGCTCGTCTGCAGACGTCTCAGTGCCGCCATTACGCTGAGATACAAGCCGTTTTCCCTCCTCATTAGCCGGCAAAGGAGGGGGAAAAACATTTATGGTTTCCCCATAAAAACAGGCGATTGTGTTAATTTGTGTAAAGCTGTCGGCTCACAAAAGCCCTCTAAACACGACCAAATTAGAATGAGGCAGCCCTTGATTGTCATTGCTGCCTTGTGTCACATTAATTTGTGACAAAACATTAGCCTGGGCTGCACTTAAACGGCAATTTATATCATTTCAATTTTTACCGCAGATACCAGTGCATCCTTCATTTAAATGCGACTTTCTGACAGGCCATTTTGCATCTAATTTTTCCCCACTCGCTTAATTACAACTTTTAGTCGGCGAGCAGAGCCAGAGAGCGGAGGGGGAGCAGTGTGCAGCTCAGGTACGATGATGAGGTTTCATCGTAGGATGAGCGCCAACTTCATCTTTAGCCGTCTCTCACACAGACTCTGGTGTGTGTGATTCCTTTTTCCTCAGGAAAAAGGAATAAAAGGGAACAAAAAGCAAAGTGAAAGACAGATTCCAGGTTCAGTGAAGAGAAACAGGCATTCTAGAAGACAAAAAAAAATCCCTTCAGTACATTTGATTTGACTTATAATAACAGGATGATATGCCTCCAGAATACAGACTTTGTGTCATTACAGTGTTTCAGTCAGGTCAAAGCTTCAAAATGTATTTAAAGGTGCGGTATTATGTAAAATAAACTTTTTGGAGTTTTATGTCATGCTGTAATGTTATTCTCTCATCAAAAACATACCAGGAGTGTTGCTTTGATTCTTTCATGCCTGTTTGAGAAACCCTTAGCAACCATTCAGCTGTGTGAAATGCCTGGGTGGATCTAGCTCTGCCTTCAAGGTGCTAGGTCACAAACTCACCCTAAAAGCTTCCACCCAAAGCAAGCCTCCCCTTCCACTCCCCCACTCAGCTCCTACAGACTAGCCAGCAGCAATTAGCAAACACCTGGTGGAACTGCTGAGCTCATTATAAGAGCTGCTTCTCAGAGAAACACTGGTAAAATGTTAAAATGAGAGAGGGCAAAATGGCAAAAAAAAAAAAAAGTGACCTCAAGTTGGAACTATGATTCATTTGTTTGTGTTTGTTCAGTGTGCTAACATCTGGCTGACAACAGGCTCAGCAGTGCTCCGATTCTAGTTGTTGTATGAACATAACCCCAGTGGAATATGGTTAATCTCAGAATAACTGCCTCTAGAAACACTGCACTGCACTTTGATCTCATTACTTCAAAGCTTTCTGCTTAACAATAAAAAAAAGAGCAGCGTTATCATCTGAGTCAGATTGATCTACAGCATTGATTTTCCTTACATAATGCAGGAAGGTGAATATTCATAGAATAATTAGTTTTAATATTTTTAATCGGTTGAGCTCAGATAAAAAGCAGCCACTCTGGTGATCTTTCCAGTAAACACCGGCTCTGCGGCTCAAGCTGTCGTGTTTTACTTCAGACTTAAGAAAAACTCCATAACTCTCTTTAACACTATGAACAGATATGAGTAAGAGGCAGGAACACCTACAACAGATTCTTGGTATTTCTACTGAGTACCAGAGGAATTGGCTCATTTAAAGTAAAAATAATAATAATAATTGATTCATCAACAATAATTTTACTTCGTCATGGGAACACAAATAATGGCTTTGTAATTCTTTGATCAGATGTAAGAAGTCTAAGAATAAAAGCTTAATCTCTGGAAAGGATTACTTTTTCAGGCAGATTGCAGCACAGAAAATTTTAAATGATCAGGATTAAAAATGGAAAAAATGAAAAATTGTGGTAAATTGGCCAGAACTTGAATCACTCTCTGTACTAGTTGTAATATAATTTGAGAAATTTACATGTTAAGTGCACAGCCCCCATCCAAATCTTTATTTTATTTTATTGTTTCTTTTTTGTGTGCAATTTATGTTTAGTTAAGTTAGAGGAAGCTTGAAAAAAATACATATTTTAATTTTGTAAAACTATTTTTTAGTTTTTAAAATCAGAATTAATATATATATATATATATATATATATATATAGACATATATACATATATAGAAAGTTAAAATATATTATTTTAATATATATATAGAGAGAAAATATAATAAAATTAAAATATCTAATAGATATTAATTATTAATTAAGTATTAACTATGGGTTTTATTGGCATATGTGTGGATTATTTATGTAATAAAGGCGAGATGATGTAGGTGGTTAAGAGGGAATTTTGCCAAGTTTATCCTTCCACCCAGAAAACAGGGAACAGAGACGTCATGACAAGAGTTTGAGAATTAATTTCCATTAAATCAGCAAAATTGGCATCAGTGTAACTTACTGGATCTGGATTTAATCTTTTTGTAAAAATTTTTTAAAAACCCCACAAGTCATTATTCCAGAAATAAGGGATGTTTCTGTTGCCCATCAGGTAAATGGCAGAGCAGCGGCTGTGGAAACGTTTGGTCATGCGGCGCCACAATGTGGAGACATCTGAGCAGAAGGCGTGGGCCTATGGCAGATTCCTGAGGTGGCGTCCAAAAAGCAGAACCGGGCCGGATTATTGATGTGCCAATTAGCAGCTGATGTGTGTGTCTTCTCCTCCCACAAGGGACCGACTGATAAATAATGAATAATTTAGCACGGTTTTATGTAAATGCTAGCAGGGGGTCAAAGTCACTGGAAATCCTCGGTTCTATTGTTACGCGTTTGACAAACTACATGTTTAAAATGCGAGGGTGTTTGTTTTAACATCGCTCTGATTTCCAATTACAATCAAAACGCAGCGCAATTTCTGAAGCAGAGATTTATAGAAGTATAACGCTCCTCAGTCAAACTGCAGTGCTGGAGATCTAAATCTACTCATTTCAGATTATTTCTATGGCATCAATTCACAACAAATGTCATTAAAGACACTTTATTAACAATTTTACCTCAATCACGCAGCCAGTCCAGTTAAACAGAGCATAAGCATTAAAGCTGCACTATTTAACAATTATACAAAACATTTTTCTTTTTACATTTGATGAAACTGTCACTATGTCAGGATAGAATAATATGAGACAAGTAGCATGTGAAAAAAATCTAGCTCTCAGTGCTAATTAAAAAAAATCATCAGAGCCAGGAGGCGGGACTAAGTGCTGTCAATCACCCTCTGTGGCACTACTCAATAACCCTCCACCCATCCCCCACGCTCAGCTACGCTGAAGCTAGCATAGCATGTTGTGAATGCTAAGCCTAGTTAGCATGGCCACCAATGGCAGTGGATAAACGGTTTTCCTTTATGTTGTTTCTCCGCCATTAGCACATTGAGCAGCTAGGACATGAGGCTGATCGGCGGCTCTAAGACTCTCCTCCTGACTGATTGGTTGTTTTTGGTGCATTTCTTCAGATGGCCGTATTAGGCCAGGTGGAGGAGATTGATATTTTCCACAGATTATCTCGTAACATGCCGTCACAACATGGCGACAGCTTTAATATGTAAAAAACATTTTTTATAAAAGTTACATACTGCAGCTTTAAGTCCGGCTCATTATTCAAATTACTAGAGAATGTTTTTTGTCTTTTTAAATGACGTGTTAGGTTTGCCTACATGCATGCACGGTGAGGTGAATGCCAGTGAAAGAACAAGCTTCGTTTGGTTGCAAGTCTCAGGTTACTTCCATTCTTCCCTTTTGTAGACATCTGTGACTTTGGAGTGGACCTCAAGTCTCTAATGAAAACTAAACAGACTCAACGGGAACGACAGTTTGACTTTATGTCTTTCAATGTGTTCCACTTCAGAGGGACTGGAAGTCTAAAATGCACCAACCCCATTTAGGGGGTACGATGCAGCAGACACCAAGTGACTACAATTACCCAGCTGGTGAACATTAAAGTGTCCCGAAAGTCTGTAATCT